TCTGAATGTCATGTCTGAGCTGCTTTCCTCCACCATATCCTTCTGTCTTGATGTTCTGCCTCTTCCCGGGCCCAGAGTAATGGGAGAACTCTGAAACCATGAGTGCCAAATAAAATTCCTCTTCTAACATTGTTCTTGTCTGGTCTTTTGGTCACAGCAGCAGAAACCCTGACTAAAACACAGTTCCAAAATATAATGTCTGATCAGATCCCACAAAAGACTCCCTTGAACTGGACCTATTCTTTCAACCTCACCCCAACCTTTTTTCTTCCTTTGCAGCATCTATAAATGTCTGGAATTATGATTTTTTGTTTATTGTCTGATATATCTCTACTCTCTACCCTCTTACCCCTATCCTTGCATAGAAAGTGGGCTCAAAAGTGCAGGAACATTATCTTGCTCACCACCAGATATCCAAAGCTTGGGTTATGTGCCCAGAATACCTGAATAAGTGAAGGCATTAACTGCTTCTTTATAGGGTTTGTTAGCTACTTTTTGTTTCACTGTGACCAAAATATCTTGCAAGAACAACTTAGAGGAAGAAAGGTTTACTTGGAGCTCAGGGTTTCAGAGGTCTCCGTCCATAGAAGGCTGACTGCTTTGCTCTTGGCCCCAGGTGAAGCAGTACATCATGGTGGAAGGGCCCAGTGGAAGAAAGCAGGGTCAAGGTCAAGAAGCAGAGAGAGCAGGGAGAGGGGCCACAGGGAAGAAACACCCTTCTGGGGCATTCCCTCAGGGACCCACCTCCTTCAGCCTTGCCCCACGTCCCTATAGTTGCCACCTAGTCAGTCCATTCAAACTAGGAATGACTCATTAGTTACAGCTCTCACAATCTCATCAATTCAACTCTGAATATTCCTGCACTAACAGGAAATATGGGGGAGGGGTGGACACCTCATATTCAAACTGTAACATACTAGAATCTAAAACTCTTGCTTAGCTTATCTTCCTGCATCAACCATTTAAATAGTTTTAGGTTTTAATTTACTCATACAGGACCTCTTTTGGATACTGAACCAGCTGTAGAAATAGAATCCTCAGTTTTGTAAAAATCAGTTGCATTATTTGTATTTTGTAGGACTTCATGCTGTGCACTCCTGAATAGTTCCATGGGTAAAGCTGAGAGGACACACTTTAGTATTCTTCTTGCAACTCTGTGATATTTTTGATCTATGATCTCTACCATCCATGTCCAGTGGGTTGAGGGTAATGGCCAGCAAAACAATATAATCCTATATATATTTTTTTTCAGGTAGTCTCTTCACCACCATCTTCTTAACAATACCTCCAATGGCAGATCTCTGCAGTCTTGCTTTCTGGAATCTGAATGCTCTGGGTTAACTCTTCAGCTTGATAGTTTTCCCTCCTTTCTTACCACAATGACCATTTTCAATAAAGGGGATTCATTCCCTTGAAGCCAATGCCATTCATGTTGCATAACTGTTGGTTTTTCAAACATTTTTGGTGTTAGCTCAAATGGATCCAGTTTAGTTAGTTTTAAAGCAGCTTAAAAGTAGAATGAAGGAGCTGGGTATGTGGCATATACCTGGAATCCCAGCAACTTGGGAGGCTGAGGCAGGAGGCTCACGAGTTTGGGGTGAGCCTCAGCAACTTTGGGTGACTATCTCAAAAAAAATAAATAAATAAACAAGAACTGGGGATATCTCTCAGTGGCAAAGTGCCCCTGAGTTCAATTCCCAGTACCCACACCCCAACAGAAAAGTAGAAATTAAAAGGAAGAGAGAGAAAATAAAAAATTGATATAAAAAAATCTGAAAGACTGTTTTTAGACTCAAATGATAAGAGATAAAATTAAAATAGGCTTTGAACAAGGAGTTTCCCTAAAAATGGTCAGTTAAAGCAAGTTAGCCAAGTGGAAAGAGCCAAAAATAAGTCCATGGCCTTGTCTATTGTTTCAGATCATTGAAAGATTGCTGTTGAATCTAGAAGGTTGAAAACAAAGCAGAGTCAAAGCAGACTTACGGATACTTGTTTTGGAAATAATTTTTTTTATGTGTTCTGAGATATGGAACTCAGAGAAAGTAAATAGAACAGAAATTTGTTATGGGTTGTAGAGAAGTAAATTGCTAAGAAACTGTGAAGCTGGGATTCAAAAAACTTTTAACTATTGTGTCCTAAAGCAAATTTTGGGCTGACTGTAAAAACTGAGTAACCAAACTGGGCAATCCCAACTGGGTAACCTAAGGCCTTTAAAACGTTCTTGTAGCAATTTCAGAATTGCTATGGACTATATGTGGTTCCCCAGTTCCAAATCAGGGTTTTAATTTGCTGCTACTTTATCCCTGTGTTACCATCTTGTTTTGGATTGGGTGGGTGGGAGTGTGTGGAGGAAAATACCTTTTCTTTTCCTTTTTAAAAAAAAATATTTATTTTTTAGTTGTAGTTGGACACAATACCTTTATTTTATTTATTTTTATGTGGTGCTGAGGATCGAACCCAGGGCCTCGCACATGCTAGGTGAGTGCTCTACTGCTGAGCCACAACCTCAGCCCAATAGCTTTTCTTTTCAGTTCATAGGTCACTGGCTTGCCAGGAGATCTAATAGAAAGTATTGAATTGGAGATCTTGAGCTTTGACCCTGGAGGTGGTGACAGGGTAGGAAAAATGTGGAAGAAGAGTGAAAGGAGCACTTGGTGACTGCAGACTGTTAAAAACTGGTGGGGTTTATCAGTCTTTTCTTTGCCTCCTAGGTGTGGTGCTAGTCTATTATTTGAAGTTGAAAGGAATCATGAGACTGAGTTGTGGCCAATGAAAAATGTCTGGAACTGATGTACAGTGCTTGCAGCTTTGATCCTTCTAAGTCTCCCTTAATATCCTCCACACTGCAGGGAATCCAGGGGACAACTCTGTGGACTCAGGAACGGCAAAGTCACTAGATGGAAGGATCCTGGATCCCTGAATGACCATGGGGAATAGAGAGTGATATGAACAGGAAACAAGCCTTTATTGTGTGTTAAATAATCTAGTAAACACATCTTTATTCTGTTGAGATTTTTGTTTCATCTATTATCACAATTAGCCTATTTTGACCAAAAGAGTCATAAAAGTTACGTTCAATGTAACATGCAGAATATTTTTGTTATATCTATTACCCTTCAATTTTCTTTCACCAAGTACACTTGATTTTCCTTATCTGAAGGTCCCACATTCATGGATTCAAGCAACTGTGAATTGGAAATGTTAAAAAATAGATTGCTCTTGTACTGGATGCACATGGACTTTTTTCCTTGTCATTATTCCCCAAACAATATAGTATAATAATTCTTTAGATAATATGTATTTTGCATTAAGTGTTATAAGTAATCTAGAGATGATTTAAAGTATAAAGAAGGATGTGTATGCCTTATGTGTAAATACTGCACCATGTTATCTTAGGGACTTGAACACCCAGGGATTTTGGCATCAAGGGGGAGTTCTGCAATCAATTCCAATGGATACTGAAGGGAAACTGTAGTTGTAGAAGAACTTTGTGGCAAGAAGTTTATTTCTACTTGAGACTGAAACTTAAAAAAAATGTCCTGTGTTGTTCTTATCTCCTGAAGTCAATCACAACCCGTATTACTGACTCTCCAACCCCAGATCTCCTACTTACTAGTTATGTGACCTTCTGTGCATATTAACCTGTCTGCACTTCACTTGTTTTGTCTATAACCTGGTTATAACAATAGCACTTATCTTGTTTTTTTTTGAGAAAATTAAGTGAATTATTCTATGCATAATGTTTAACATGGCAGTTGGCAAACAGTAAGTGCTCAATAAATGTTATCATCATCAACATCATCATCAGGTGCTAGGTATATGCTTGACATTGGAGGAGACAGTGAATGAGCTATCCAAGGTCTAGTTTTCTGTGAGATGTTTGCTTATTTCAGAACTCTTATTTTTTTTGATTTTGAACTTTTCCAGTATAATCTCTATTAAATATTTAGTTTTAAGGGAAGGGTTTTGCCTCCCTCTCAACCTACTCTAGAAAATGCTGATTATAGTTGGGGATCTTCTCTGTTTACTTGAGTGTTCTGAGTTAGCATCTGTGTCCCCTTTAGTGGTTTTACTATGTGAGTGCAGTATTCCTTGGTACCCTGTGGCAATTGGAGTGGGAAGAATAGAGTGATACTGACATCTCTCTTGGAGGAGGGAACATCTTCCTGCTCCTGGCCACCTTCTGCTTGGAGTGACTTCCTGTTGAGAGTCCTTTCTAGAGTGCTGGGGTAAATATGGCTGCCACTGAACTTACAGAAGTATACTTGCCTCCTTTATTCTGTCCCTGTTCCCAAGGACACTGCTAAACCATCTTGTTTCTGATGGTGTGTGGGCAACATTTGCAAGATTCAGGAGATTTAGAATCCTTTCCATTCATTATTAGTTTATGAGAATAGAGACTTAATTCGCACCAATGATGGGCTTGTCCATCCCCCACACCAGGCATTTAGATGCCTGGTTGACCTGTACACCTGAGTTAGTGTCCTTTTGCCCAGGCTGATGGCATGGGCCATTTTCCTGGCACACACTCCTCAATGGTGCTAATTAGGCAGGCACACCCACTTGCCTTGGCGTGTTTTATAGATGACCCAAACTGCAAACACCAACATGTATAAAACATATGCTCTCTTCTTTGTGTAATTTCAGATACCAAAATATGCCTACACACAGGGGTACGTGCATACAGACACATGCATATTCTTTTTTTGCCTGGTAGAAATATGCTTCTGTAATGTTTCTTTTACTCCCACACAGGCCCCTTGGTGGTTGGCACATCTCCTAATTATTCTCATCTACTCCCTCCCCATAGACCTTTTGGGTGTATATTTTGGCACTCATTCTTTGGGTTCCACCTAGTTCCTATCTGTCTCTCTTGCTGCCTCCCTCCCTCTCCCTCCTCTTCACAACTTTTTAGACAATTTGTTAAACTATACACTCTTTATTATTAATGTACATTTATGAAAAATTCTTCACAGTTACAAAAGTGCATGGTTATAAAATCATCTCCATACAAAGGTTGGTATCTTCCCTGGAACCCATTCCCTCCCGATCCCTCCCACCTCCAGATATCAGCACTTAGGAAAACCGGGAGCTCTGTGGATCCCACTCTCCGACCAGTGCTGTGGCAAATGTGATGGTGATTTACAAAAGGACCTTGCAACTTGCCTCATTTACTTCCCTTTCACCTCTTTCTGGGGTGGGAAGAGCAGACAAGTTTCCCTAGCTTTGGGAAGATGTCCTTTCAAGGAATGAACAATGGCGTCTCCTGCTCTTCTACCACCGGAATGTCAGGAATGATGCCTACAGAGAAAATGGGGGCTGTCGGTCTGATGGTCTGTTTAAATTGTATGTACTTAGCTCCTTGAAAGAGGTCATGAAACTCTATAGCATCTCTGGGGACCTATTTTGGCAAGCTTCCTTGGGAACTCTGGCAAGAATGGAAAAGGAGGTGAGAGTTTGTTTGAGGGTAATTGGAGGTGACAGAGTTAGAGTGGCATGGTACGGATGTGGGACCTTTACAGAGGAACAATTTTCTTGGCCAAACCTTGACCATCATGATTGGTTCATTAAGCTTTGATGTCCTCAGGCCTAGCATGACCCTTCATGTAGGTCCGTGACAAGGACAAGCCTCTGCGGGATAGAAGAGACAGAGGGAAGCGGGGACAGAGGAGTTAGGTTCTAAGGATGCCTCTACCAGAGTTTTCTAGTATGTTTTTGGAGCAGCCAGACCCACTTCAAAGTTGGTTGGCTCTCCTCTTTGTATACTGAACAATGTAGCAGCCAGATGGGTGAGCAAGCTGTGTCAGAGAGTTAAACCCAAATTCCAGAAGGACCACAAGCCTATGTAGGACTGTATAGAAAGACACACAGACACAGATCTTCTACCTGTCAGCCAGAGTGGAACAGACTGCATCAAACCTTAAGGGGACACAATAATGTTTGAGGTCATCAGGGGTGTGGGAATAATTCCAACCAGAATTTGTAGATTATTTCTACAAGTTTAGTTCTGACAGCTAGAACAAGATGATGGTGGTGGTGGGTGAATTCCTTGCTAGTAGGGAGGTTGATTATTTTCCTCATCGCACTTTAGTTAACTGGGGACCTCCCAGCAGATGGAGTAGCATATAGGCAGCTCAGAAATCTTTGCCACTAATGGAGATCAAATTGTCCCATTAGAAAGGACATTTTTTTCTCAAGGGACATTTGTTGTCTTGCAAAAGACACCATTAGTACTATACAAAAAAAGAGAAAAAGTATATATCTTAAAATATATTAACTATATTTCAGCAAACCACAGTCCCCAGGAGATTATTATAGATGATTACGGTGTTCCTCTATGAGAAGCTTAACTATTTTGTCATGACCATTACTTCTAAAAGTTCTTCTCCAAATACTTTTCAGCTGTTCTTGACCGGGGAACAACTTAAGTCCACCATCCTTGGCCATAGTGGAAGGAGAGAACAGGACGCAGTTTTGCTTCAGATGTTAGAGGGGCAGGACTCCCTCAGATGGTATAAGTGAGACCCAGATGACACAGGTTCAAGTTCATAGGGACTATTTTGATTTGACTAGCTCAGGGCAGATGCGTGGTGGGAGACTTCTTGGAAGATGATATGTTCTCCTTAATCCATTTCAGGGCTACCAGGAGTTTGGGATGATGAAAACCTGCTGTGACTAGGGGCAAGGTAGAAAGCCCCTGTGTTCATTTTCACCCTGGCCAGCTGTGCCCACATGTTGGATTGTGCTTTAAATTTTCCCCATTCTGCAAAAGTTCCCACCTATAGTTTTTGCTTCTCTCTTGATACCTCCTGATATACAATACACCAGGATTTCATTAGGAGCGGATAGTACAGCTTGTTTTCCTGCTTTCCAAAGACCGCACTTTTTACATGACAGATCTACTGCTTTATTGGCACTTTGTAAAGCAGGTATCTCCTGTTCAAGTGTTACCTGTGCTACCTGTATATATAAAAGGCTGCAATGTGCTTCACTGTGAGCATATCTTGATCTGTGCACAGGGCTCTCCTCCCTTTATTTGACTTGATTTACTAGTGATGGAGACCACGAAGCCCACAAATACTAGCGCGTTCATGACTGCTGAACCCCAGGGCCTCACCTTCTAGACCTCCAAGGTGTTCTCTTTCCTGAGTACCTGGGAAAGCACTGGAAAGAGAACCCTATTGGAGTTGAGTCCAACCTTGCCATTTAGGCAAGTCCTACCCATCTTGAGCTTCTGTTTTCCAACCTGTAATATGGGATTATTGGTGTTTGGTTTGCTTCCTGCACAGGGTTGTGAAAAGTCAAGGAGAAAGATGCAAAAGCACTTCCTGAACTATCCAGTGCTGAACTATCTGGGGGAGATCATGATGAAGCCGATGAAACGGGTGATTGGATGGAGATGGCGACAATGACGACGTGAGTTGTGCTTTGCACAGTCACTTGATTTTTTGATTGACTGATTAGATCTAGTTTCCCTGAATGGGGTTGGCTATCATCTTTCTTCTAAGGCTTATCCGATAACCGTCGGTAAGTGACTCAGCAATCGACAAGGGATTCATCAGAAGAATGGAAATAATGACACCCACCAGGCAGTGTTGCTATTGAGAATTGAAATAAATGAGTCAATAGTTATAAAAGTTCCCGGAGGATTGCCTGGCCCTTTTTAGCCATGTTGATAGCACAGCTTGAGTTCGAATTCACGTAGCTTTAGAGGGAATTGTGCTATTCCCCAACTTGGATGGGGCAGCAACAGGAGCACAGACTTTATTTTGATCATGAAGTAGCACATGACTTTAACCTCTCTGAGCGTGCATTTCCTCATCTGTAAAATGGGAACAAGGATGTTCTCCTCAAAAGACGGTTGCGTGTGCTAAAGGGAATTGTTTGTGGAGAGACCACATCACAGTGCCTAACACTGGCGGGGGCTCAGTAACCAATAGCTCTCCTACCCTAATGCTTCAATGGACGAGTTGCTTAGAAGAAAATACAAACCCTCCTGTGGTCACGGCTGTGGTGCCTTTGTCCTCCTTCAGCCCTGGGGACTGTCATGCTATGGGTCTGTAGCTCACTGTGAAATTTCCTGGTGGGATCCCTTGGTGTGAGCACCACGGCAAGAACAGTCACAGAATTGGGGTCTCAGGGTGACGGGATTCTTGCTGCCCAGTTCTAGGGCATCCTGCCTTCCTCTTCTGAAACCAAGACTGAGTGAGAGGCAGAAGACAGGTGTAGGAGGACAGACACTGGGGGTGTCCATCCTCAGCCTGTTGCCCAGGCCTCACTGGCGGGCTATAGTTGGTGGCATAATATTGGGGGCGGTCCCTGGGAAGTGGTCTCACCCGGTGGCTGCTGGTAGGAGCAGGCCAAGGGGCTGGCATGAGGCATTCTTGCTCCCCAGGGGCAATGGTTGGCAGCAGTGAGAGCAGACAGATTGGGTGTCAGAGGGAAAGTTTGGGTCCTGGGCCACACCCCTGTATACGCTAACACCACAAGGAATAGTCCACTGCTCTCAGCATTCTACAAGTATCCTGACCTCTGTCGTCTGCTTATGTCCACCCTTCTTGGTCTACTTGACACAGTGGATATTTTTTGATGACCCATCTCACAAATCAGTCCACTCGTGCAATTCTTCCTGGGCTCGGTTGGCTTGTCCTCTGGGCTTCCATAACTATGTGCACAGAGGACTGATGTATTGTCATAAAGGGATAGTTTCTGAATTTCTCTCCTCTACTAGAAGCTCATGCCTCAAGGGCAGGGACTGAGTTGGAGTCATCTTACATTCCCACTTCCTAGTACAGTGCCTGGCCCAAAGTGGACAGAGATGCTCACATGAAGTTTCCAGAACTTGTCTGAACCATGGCTGAGGTGGACAGGGCACAATGGAACCAGAGTGGGCAGCTGGGGAGGGTGACCAGTGGTCAGCAGCAGTGGCAGTCGGCAGCATGGAGGGATGACAGGCACCTACGTCAAATCTCTTCCTCTTCGCTGGCCTTGCTCCAACGGTGGCAGCAGTTGGCTGTGATGCCCAGGAGGAAGTTGGTGGCCACGGAAGCGATGGAGACCACGAAGCCCACAAATGCGATGAAGAGGTAATCGTCCAGGGTCAGAGTCAGGTGGCAAGCCTTGAAGCTCTCCTCGGTGAGTGAGAACAGGGGGGCACCCTCCACTTCAGGGGGGCCCCGACACTCAGCCAGCTGAGAATCTGCAACATAGAACCGAGGGAGGGTGAGGCCCCTGGGGGAGGGAGAATGGATTGTGGAGACCCCATCCCCTCCCAGGACAAAGGAAGCCACTGCGTTTCTTCTATGTGCCAAATAATCTGCCAAAGGAGACCAAGGAAGGTCTCCTTTCCTTAACAATCTCAAGACATTTTCATACCTATTTGTATTGATGTGAAAGACCACTGCTTGGAGAGTTTAGTAATTTGTCAAAAGTGTCGTAGGTGCTCTTGATGCAGAGCTGGGCTTTTGTGGGGTAGCTGGTCTCTTACAGTAGCCTCTGCTCGTCTCTGTCTCTACACACTCAGAGGAGTGATGCTTTCAAACCTGAACTTGGTCATGTCACTCTCTGCCTAAACCTTCCGTCCCCATGGCTTCCCAGCTTTCACAGAGCTTCTATTCTGCTTCTTATTCACTCTGCTCGGGCTGCATGTGCCTCTGATTGTTATTCCACAACCCCAAGCATGTCCCCTCAACTTTGTATTTGTCTCTGTAAGGGAGTTTTCTCCGGGGTCTTGACTCAGCTCAGTCCCTCGCTTCCTCTGGGACTTTGCTTGATACCACCTTAGTGGTGTGGCCTTAGGGTTCTGTATAAATAGCAACTCTATATTTCCCTAGACTCCTTGTCACACCTCTTGATTTTTTCCCAGGGCATTTTTCACTGTCTGGCAACTTGTTTATTGCCTTTCCCTCCTCCTTGAATATAAGCCCCTCCTGTAGTGTCCTCAGCTTCTGAATAGTGTCCCCACCATAGGAAGTGCTCAATAAATCTTTGTGAAATGATGGCAGGGCTCTGTCCAATTACAAGGCCTTGGGTCCTTCTACTAATCCCTGTGGCTTTTCCAGATACACAGAATACGTGGTTAGGAGTACAGGCTCTGGAGATGTCAGCCTGGCTTCAAATCCCCTCTTCACCTCTCATCAGTTGTGTGATGGTGGTAAGTTACTTAACCCCTCTGTATCCTGGTTTCAATTGTCAAGAGAGGATATTAAAGGTATCTACCTCCTGGGGTTGTAAGTGAGGATTCAGTGAATTAGCATAGACAAACGGTACATTCCTTGTACACAGTAAGCTCTATGAAAGTGCGAGCTTTTTAAATGATTGAAGATTGGTGTCTCTTATGGGTCCTGGGGGTCATATTCTACACTCAGGAGTGGCTGCTCCTTCTGTGGGATTGCTATTCTCTCCAGCCTTGAAGGTCCTGCCTCCTCCTTCCAGGGTCACTTTTATAAATGCATGATGATTGTCAATAGTCTTATCTCACTCTGCCTTGGAAGTAAGAGTGACAGGCAGGGTCTGTTGTGCTGTGCAGTGCTCAGCCCCAGCTTCAGAGCAGCTGGACATGCTTTTGTTCAGGGGATAGATATTAACTGAGTTCTTACCTTGGGCAAGTTTTTCCCCCTTTTCTGGCTCTCATGTCCTGCCTCTATAAGAAAGGAGATAATCCAACCTCGATTTTTCTAAGAGAGTCAATGCGAAAAAGTTTTTTTTTTTTTTTAAAATTATAGGGTGTTTAAATTATAGGGTGTATAAATGTTTTGTATTCATCCTGCAGTTTTTGAGGGCAGAGAACAAAATGATGGACTCAGATTGATCCTTCTGACAAATGGATGTGCACCATTATCCTTAGAAATGGGAGATCAGGTTTGGGTGGAGAAGGAAAGCTTCCCCACGCCCCAGATGGAGTCATTCCTGTAGTCTGTTTGCACGGGACTCCAGATGTTGCCCAGGTCAGGATTGGGTCTGGAGTTGATCTGCAAGAAGCTCTTTTCTGGAAACTGGAAGATGCTGAACCCAAAGTCTATTGGGTCCATAAGTGGTATAGTAATACTGAGACAAGAAGAACTGGGGGAGGAAGGCCAGCTGGAGAAGACAGCCAGAGTAACCAGTAAACTACACAGGATGCGGGTCAGGGGGGCTGGGGGATGACAAAGCTCTTTATTAAGTCAAGGGACCAATCTTGAAGTCAGATTGTATCCCAATAACTCCCCTACATCTTACGTTTAAATTTTTCCAAACAAAAAACATGGATAATAGTGAAAATCCCATAAAGAAAAAAGGGAGAAAGTAATAGAAAAAGACTTAAAGGGAGATATCACTAGTTCTACCTGTCCTGGCAAGGTTTTGCTCCCAAGAGGAAACCTGGTGGGAGTGGCGTGCTGTATGTGTGTTCTATGGAGGATCAGGAGGTCTGGGTTTCAAGCCGTGGCCTGTTTATTTTCTCACTGTGGATCTGTGTCACTGTTCCCTTTATGGAGCTTAGGTCCCTCCCCTGTACCACTGTGTGGGGCTACACGGAGGAGATCTTGGAGTTCTCTCCTGCTTGTTGGGAGTTTGGACTTCTTTAGGGCAACAGGGGCTTCAGAGATCCCAGTAAAAGAGGAGTTCCCAGCCCGGTGGAAGCTGAGCACCCCAAGGGCCCCTTCTGTCCTTAGTTTGCAGGAGAGAGAGGTAAGGCAGAGGTTGAGCTGGCGGGAAGGTGTCTCCAGGCAGGTGCCCCTCCTGCCCCCATCAGCACCCGGTCTCAGTCCCAGCTATTTCCATCTGGGAGAACTTCCTCCCACAGCGCTGTGGAAACACTGGAATCGTGACCTGCACCCCCGCCCCCACACTATTTTGGTCTTGGGCTCTTGAGGAGTCCTCCTCTTCCTCCTACCTCGTTTAGCTTCACTTCCCCCAAATATGCAGAGCCCAGATTCTGGGAAGGATTCTGGGATACGGCCCCCGTGATTCTTGTCATCCTGCTGCTGGGCACCTGGGCTTAGGCTCAGGGCTGTCACATAGGAGAGCTGGAGGCTGAGACCACTGTTGAACTTTTCCTGCCTCTGGGCCAGGCTTGGACACCACTGGGTGACACCAGGACCCATCAAACCTGCATGCCTGGGCTCCTTCCAGGCTCTAATCCACTCTCCAGTTGGGACTGATAGGTTAAATTGCCACATCTCAGCTCCTTCCCCCAGGCTTCATGCCCAAACCTCCTCCGCTGAGGACCCTTGACCAGTCCAGAACTTGGGCTTTGTTAGTACAGAATCTGACTCTTGGGATCTGGCCAGAGGACAGCTAGACTTTCAGTGTCAGAATCCTGATTTCAACACTTAGGAACTGTGTAACTTTGAGCAAGCAAATGAACCTCTCTGTGCCTTGGTTTTCTCCTTTCCTCCTTGGTTTCCTCCTTTCCAGGAAGATAGGAGAAGCTCAAATATGTGACATATTTGAATAGGGACTGGCAGATAGTAAGTATTCAAATAAATAGTGTTGGTCATTGCTGTTTCTTAGGATTTTCCCAGCGCTCCCAACTTAAAAAGCAGCCTGGTCGAGTAGAATGAGGCTTAGAAGTCAGGGAAAACTGAGTTTTATCTAGGGCCCTACAACTTTCTAAATGAGCAACTCTGGGCAAGCCTCTTCATTGTTCTAAATCAGTTTCTTCACCTGTAAAATGGGGATCATAAAAAAGGGGTTGGAAGAGATGCTATAGGCCAAATTCTTAAATCATGGTAAAAGCCTCCTAAATGTCATCTGCAGTCAGTTATGCCTGCTTGTTTACTCTCTGTCTGCCTCATTAGGTAGTAGCTGCCACAGAGGCGAGGGGCCTTCTATTTCATGAGGGGATGGGTCCCCAGCACTTCTCATGCTCTCCAAGAATTCAACAAAAAACTTGTTGACAGAAAGAGCACGTGCCCAAGAGGGAAGCAGGGACCAGGGCACACACAAGACACTCGGGAGCTCCAAGTCTCCCCTCCCCACGGTGGCCCTGACTGGCCAAGTCCCTTACCGGCAGTACAGCGCTGGATCCGGTTCCGCAGCCACTTCAGCAAGGGCTCCATGGTGCAGCCACACACCCAGGGGTTGCCCCCAATCTGTAGGGTCACCAGCCCCGGCAGGCCCTCGAGAGCCTCGAGGCTGAGGAAGGCCAGGCCCCCGTAGCTGAGGTCCAGGTCTCGGAGCTGCACCAGGCCCTGGAAGGCCTGGGGGTGGACTCTGCACAGCCACGGGTTGTGGCTCAGGTCGATGTGTACCAGCCCGTGGGCCTCCCGGAACATGTCAGCGGGCACATGGCTGAGGTTGTTGTAGCTCAGATCTAGGTGTGCCAAGCGCTTGGCATGGAGGAAGAGGCCCGGGGGCAGCTCCATCAGAGAGTTGTTACGCAAATCCAGCACCCGGAGCTCCATGTAGCATGTGAGATAGCCAGGTGGCACGGCCGAGATCCGGTTGTGGGCCAGGCTCAGGTTGCGCGTGTCCATTGGCAGATCTGGGGGCACAGAGAATAGCCGCTGGCTGCTGCAGTCCACAACCTGGTTATGGCACGTGCAAAGGACCGGGCAGCTGGATCCCGCATCTGAGCGCATCACCCCAGTTGCCAAAAGAAGGGAGACCAGCAGCATGGCTGGTTGGGGAGGTCCAGGCCAAGGAAGCTGGGCCCAGGTGTCACCCATCTTGGGTAGCTGGCAGCGGCAGTGCTGAAGGGAGCCCATCAGGCTTGTGTCCGTGGATCCCACAGTCAGTGTGCAGGACGGCAGCTACATCAGAGGCCTGGGTCCTGAAAGTGGGGTGTATGAGCACATGGTATCATGGCCCAAACGTCTCCTGGGGACCTCTAAGCACCAAAGGACTTCCCAAGAGCCACAGGAAGTCCCCTTTGGAGCCTAGGGGGCAAGAAACCCAGCCAAGGTCCCCCCGGGTCTGAAAAGATGATCAAAACTGGAGAAAGAAAGGAGACCAGGATGGATCTGGAGCTGCTGTCAGCAGGTACTGGGAGGGTCCCTGCAGGTCTTTTGTGCCCCTCTCACCCATGTCTGTGGGGTGCTTCCTCTTGGTGCAATGTCTGAGAGGTGGGAGGGAGGGCGAGGGAGAGATGAAAGGTGCCCTTTAAAGGTCCTGGCACTTCTTCTAAGGAAACTTCAGCCCTGTCTGGGCCTGAGACTGATTAGGAAGTCAGAGCTGCACCTGGGCCTCCAGCATTTGATGTCTCAGAGGTCATTTCTTCTGTGGTCCAGCAGGGTGGAGTTCAAGGAGGTCCTGGGGTAGGAGTTTCGGGAAGGGAGCCCAGGAGGAAGCAGGATTCCACGGGCCTTCTGAAAGTCTGAATCTTTAGCCTCAGTGGCTGCTGGAATCCCCAGGGATGCTCTTTGTTCCTCATGGTGAGGAGGATCCCAAATGACACCCATTGCCCAGGTCACCAGAGCTGGAAAGAGCCATGGGTACTAGAGGTACAAGACTCGGGGTCAGCTAGGAGAGCTTTGGCTCCTTCTCCAAGCTCGTGCCTCCGCGTGGCTGTGCATTCAGCAGGTGGAGGCAGAATCCACTCTGTCAACAAGGAAAGCACTCAGGCAGAGAAACACAGGGCCTTCCAAGCCAGTCCCCCTTTCCTTTGCCCTTGTCCTACCTCACCCATCCCCTTCTCTCTTCTTTGACCCCCAGCCATAAAGTTCTCTATTTACTGTCTTTCAGATGTGGATGGTGGTGAACTCAGAGCCCAGCCTCACATTGGTGTCACCCACTAACTTTCCCCACCCGACCTACAGCCCCCCTCCTGCCTGTCCTGGGCTGGATGCGTTTCTTTTCTTGCTCACAACTCCGCCCCCATCAGCATCAAACACCCCACCCTTGAACAACTCCCTGAGAAAACATGCATCCACATTGTGGTTGTTTGCACACGCCTTTCAAACACTTTTAACACCGTTCTCCTTTCTCTCTCTCTCTCTCTCTCTCTCTCTCACACACACACACACACACACATACACACATACACACACACACAATTCTTCCGTGACTCCTTCATATTTTGCAGTGGCCAAGGCTCACGCCTCCCCAGTTTTCTGTCCCTCTTCCCTCTGCACATGCACCCATGCAGAGCCCCCTCCCCAGAGTGCCCCACCACCTTTCACCCCCCCTCCCAATGTCCACCCCTAATCCCAGCATCCTTTTCTACAAACACTCCACTCTCCCACTCCCTGCCCCCAGCTTGAGCCCACACCCTCACTTGGTCAGGCGGAGGGATGGAGAAGCAGGGCGGACCCGGGCCTCGCCCAGCTGCCCACCCCATCCCTCGGTGGCCTCGGCTTCTTCCTCACCCACCATCTGTCCTCACTTGTCCTCCCCTCACCCTTCTTTCCGGCACTGCCTCTCTTCCCACCCTCTCTTCCCACTGTTTCCAGTCTCAATTTCACTCTCTGGGAAATCACCCTGGTGCCCCTTTATTCAGACTCATTTATCTGAGCCCTAAGGTCTCCCGCTACACTCCCACAGGCCCTCGGGAGCCTACTCACTCTGTTCCAAGGACACAGCCATCAATCTGCAGCAGACACGGGTCTCCCTCCCTCATCCTGGAATCCCCGCTCGCTGGCTGGCTCCAGAACAGATTGCCTACTCGGCTCTGCCCCTCCCCCGGCTCTCCTCTTCCAGGTCTCCTGGATCCCAGGCCAGCATCTTCTGTGGTTTCCCGTCCTGTGGTCCCTGTGCCCCTTCTTTTACCCCAAAGGGGAATCTGAAAGAGGATGCTTAGAAGAAAGTTCACAGAATCTGAATGCTTCTTTCTGAAACTCAGCTGGTGCTGAGGCTGCCCGGGTTTGTGGCTTCCGCCAGAGACAGGTCTTCCCCTCCCTCCCCATTCCCTCCCTCTCTCTCCCTCCCTGCATCCCTCCCCCTCCTCTCTCCCTTTTTTCGCTCCCCTTTTTTTCCTCGAGGGCCAGGTAATGACGTTTCACTGTCTCTTAGCAACTGCCTCCACATCTCTGAGCAACAGGAGAACTGGCTATAGACCCCACCAAGATGAGAGAGGAGAGAACGAAGTACTCAGGCAGAATTCACAGCCACCCACAGGATCCTAGTGATAGGGCAAAGGGAAGAAAGGGAGCGAGGGTAGGCAGCCTGGGGACAGGGGCAGGGGAGAGGAGCAGACTGGGAGAGAGGACAAAAGGCCCCGTGGGAGAAGTCAGAGTAGGATTCTGATGGATTCAGAATCCAGGACGGAGGAGGTAGACCCCAAAGGGAAAATGGAGAGAGCTTGGAATGGAGCAGGGGAAAGCAAAAGGGTGGTTGAAACTGAAGACATGAATAACAATGGGAAGAAAGTAGAGAAATGTATGTGGTACTCAATGTTTGTTCACTGGACGGGAGCTGTCTCTTGAGTTGCTATGTGACATCTGTTTCTCTGGGTCTGAATGTATTGTGGTCTCCAGGATCAGATGATGGGCTGAAGGCTTTTTTTGAGGAACCCTATTTTTTTCCTTGATTGTCCCTAATTCCTGACCCCATGAGCTCTCTGTGGGATATGACCTTTGTGTGGCGTAGACCAACTTCCCCTTGGCTTGAGACTGCAGAGTCCTTGGGAAGCAAAGGACCAACTGCCTGGTTCAGGTTGGGGGTGCCTGGACATGTCTCTAGGGGACTGAAGGCTACCAACAACCTCATGGTGCTTTCTTCTTTCTGCAGTCCCCAGGGATTCCTTCTGTTGTCCTGCTCCCTCCAAGCTTCCTGCTCCCCTTCCCCATCTCCAGATTGGCTTCATATGAGGGTGGTATTTTCATAAGTGCCTCTTTTCCTCCGGTCTGTTGAACAAGTCTTTTGCTGTCCTGTATTTAAAAACTGGCCTGGTTAGTTGGTTTGATCAAAGAGTGGGCTCATTTTTTGTGAACACTTACTGTGTGTTGGGCAATTGGCCAGATGATGAGGTTATAGCTGCTAAGAAGATGGCTGTGGACAAATCCATTATGGCGCTGCCACTGCCTCTGGTTGCCAGTCAGCTGACCTGGGGCCTCTTTCATTTAAGTAATACCTTAAGTCTTTATTGTGGGGGAGCTCAAATAGAGTCATAGAATAACAAGCAGGAATTTCCATAGTTTCTGGAAATTTCCAGCGTTCTCAAATTCCTCTCCCTGTTTGGTTCTAGAAAACTGCTCCTCCGGCCCTTTTTTCTCATGTTATGGGTATTTTGATCTTTCATGTTCTACAGTGTCTAGTGCAGAGTAACCTAGTAGCCACTGCATCAATATTCACCTACTGAATTGACTGAGGAAAATGCCATTTGCTTCCCCTCCCCCATTAGAGAAAGGAAAGGAGCGAATTTAGAAATAAAATCTTTCATCACGTTGAAACAATGAATCCAACTGTAAACTGAAGACTGTTGGCCTCAGAAAAGCAAAGTGAGCATCTTTCTTTTACTAACTGAAAAACGGTAGAAAACACTTGTTTCAGTGGAGACAATTATGAAAGATAATTATGAAAAGTGTTCAGTACAGTTCAATTTTTAATGTTGACTAAAACAAATAAGAAAGAAAGGTGATTTTCTTCCTTTACATGATACTAAGTTCATATTTACAATTAAAACCAATAATATGCCTGAAGAAAAATATATTAGTGACAGTTTCTTTAAGGAATAGGATATAGGCAAGAATACCTCATTGTCATGTGAAACTTCCTTTTTCGTACCTGTGAAATGGGATAGTATAATAATGGCACCTAACTCATGGGGTTATTTCAGGCACAAGCAGTTATTAATAAAGCTACTCTGAACAGTACACAGTGAGGACTACAGATAGGTTTGCTAAATAAAAAAAGTAAAATAAATAGCAGAGGACAGAATTGCTGAAATAGTTATGCATAAAGGACAACCAATAAATTGTACCAAATGGCCAGAGAGGAGAAAAGGGAATGAGAAAAGGAAAATATCACATTTGCAGATGATTTTAATGCGTTCTTGTGCGAGATAAGTTGCCAAACCTATAGGAAGCCCTGATTCAAGAACATTATGATTGCATATAATATCCCCTGTAAAAGCGAGATTCAACGAGGTAGAAATGTTTTAAATGACTTTCTACTTTTAATCATTCTATGACTCATCGAAGGATTCTATGAATCCCAAAGTGGTGTTTCACGGTATACTATGTGCCATGAGAAAGATGAATGTTCTCAAATAAGTTTGAGAAGCAGTGAATTAAACAAAACAAAGCAAACTTACTCCTTGGAAGATTTCTCAGGGGCTTTAATGTGTGAAGGGTCACAAAGCAAATCATTACCGAGAGCATCGGAAAATGAAGGAAATAGAACGCAGCTTTTCCTAAGCTCATTTTGGATCTCTGTTTTTCTTTCTTCTCTTCTTTTTCCCATTTTCCCTTTTCTTCCCCTGATTTTACTCCTTCTCCTCTTCTTGCTTTTGTTTATCAGAGCTATTAATATTGGGAATAGTTTCTAGTGGGCCATGGTTTGGGAAATACTGAACTCAGTTTAGACTATCCCTTGCTTAAACGTCTTAAGCGTAGCACTGGTTGGCTACTGTAGAGGTAATTTTTTTTTTATACTTAGCAAAGAGAATAATTACATGTGTAAATATCAACAAATCTACATTGAGACACTGGACTGGTGGGCCACTTCTCTTTGTAAAGTGGCTTTCTCCTCCAATACAGTAGTCTTGCAGGAGAATGGAAAGGAGTGAATTAGTTTTGAATCCCAGTGAAGTGGCTTCATTTTGAATCCTAGCAAAGTAATGAATTATGAGATTTCATGGCTTTTCAGGGATCTGTCCTTCCTTCTTTCTTTCATACTGGGAATGGAACCTAGAGGTGCTTTAACATTGAGCTACATCCCAACCATTTTTATCTTTTATTTTAAGACAGGGTCTCTGTAAGTTGCTTAGGGTCTTGCGAAGTTGCTGAGGCTGGCCTCAAATTTGCGGTCCTCCTGCCTCAGCCTACCCAGCCACTGGAATTATAGGCATGCACAACTGCACCCAGTGTTTAGGGTCTCTTTCAAATTAAGGAAACTGCAACTTTCAAGGATATACCACATTGGGAATGTGCACATAAACTAATCAGCGAGTTGTAGAAAATGAAATGAGTTGAAATATCGTTTTCATTATTATGCTTTCCTGAACACATGGTAAATTAGTGACAGAATACCTTTGATGACATGAGAATGAATTTAATTTGCCACAGAAGAAATTTATTCTGGGAAAATTATGAAACCTTAGTTGAATGAACATAGAGGAAGAAATGGAAAGCTGATCTCTACTCTTATTGGGAAGGTTTAAGAATGGGAAAAACAACTCTCTTTCCACATTATCGTAACTTAATGAGGCCTTTAGTAGAATCTGGTGAACTGGCAGTGAAAACCATCTGGGGAAAAATGTGTAGCTGGTGTTAACAAGGTGCTGCTGCTGCTGCTGCTGCTTCTGTTGGGAGATGCTTGAGAGTAAAGATGGTAGATTGACATAACAAAAAGATTACAAACTCAAAAAACTTAACACCAAATAAACAAATAACCCAATCAATAAATGGGCAAAGGAACTGAATAAGCACTTCACAGAAGAAGAAATACAAATGGTCAATAAATACATGAAAGAATGGTCAACATCTCTAGTAATTAGAGAAATGCAAATTAAAACTATACTGAGATTCCTTCTCACTTCAGTCAGAATGGCAATATTCAAGAATACAAGTAACAATAAATGTTGGTGAGGACGTGGGGAAAAAGGTTCACTCATACATTGCTGGTGGGACTGCGAAGTGGTACAACCTATATGGAAAGCAGTATGGAGATTCCTCAGAAAACCTGAAATTGAACCACCACCATTTGACCTAGTTATCCCACTCCTTGGTTTATACCCAAAGGACTGAAAATTAGTATACTACAGTGATGCAGCCACATCAATGTTTATAGCAACTCAATTCACAAGAGGTAAGCTGTGGGACCAATCTAGGTGTCCTTTAACAGATGAATGGATAAAGAAATTGTGGTATATATACACATATGGGAATAGGAAAGACAGTAGAATGAACTGGACATAACTTTCCTATGTTCATATGTGAGTACACAACCAATGTAGTTCCACATCATGTACAATCACAAGAATGGGAAGTTATACTCCATGTATGTATATGTCAAAATACACCGTATTGTCACGTATATCTAAAAAGACCAAAGGAAAAAAATGGACATGATCTTAACCAGTTCCTCAAAGGGCCACTGCGAGTTTTGAAAGAGGCAATATCTGGTACAGTTCTTGGTCCTTTATAAAAGCTCAATGACCTGGCCATTCCTATTAGAGTCATTACATGAGAGTGAATTGGATGCCTTCTGTTTCCAACTCTGAAATGTCTTGAGTGAATCTGGGAGGCAGGATTATATTTCGGGAAGCTACATAACACATTAGTTATGAGCACGGTCTTTGGAGCAACAATAATAATAGTGATAGTGACAAAATACCCTGACATGGGGTTATTAATTAATTAACCCACACAAAGCATTTAGTATAGCATCTGGCACAGGTCAATTCTTCTTTTTATTATTATTATTATTAATATTATTATTATTATTATTATTTTGGGAGGGAGTTGGTAGAGGCAAGCATGGAGCTACCACTCAAATAACAGCAATTATTCTTCAGGCAATGATCTCAGGTTGTCCTTTTTTCTCGTGGCCAGTTCCCACTCTCTTTCTGCTCCTTGGTTCCCGGATCCCTTGTCCTGTTCTTGAGCTTTCTGATGTTTTCTTCCTGCCGCTGCTTGACGATCCTCCACTTCAATCCGCTGGCATTGGCTGTAACGTCCTGCATGCATCCTGTGCACTTCAGAGACACATGTGTGCATGCATGTG